CCCTCTTTTAGCTTAGAGCCGTTCCCCCTTGTCCTATCACTGCACCCCCTTGTGAAAGCCCCCCCCCCCTCCTTCCTGTAGCCCCTCCAGGCACTGGCAGCTGCTCTAAGGTCACCCCGGAGCCTTCTCTTCTCCAGGCTGAACAGCCCCAGCTCCCTCAGCCTGTCCTCATAGGAGAGGTGCTCCAGCCCTCGGATCACCTTTGTGGCCTTCTCTGGCCCCGATCCAACACATCCGTGTCCTTCATGGATCACTGTCTCCAGAATGTCGATGATTAAATGACTGAACTGGTCCCAGAACAAGGCTGTTGGAAGGGGTAGGAGGTCTCCAGTATGGAATGCCATTACCCTGGGCTTTCTGCAGTCCTTCATGGCAGGGTCAGTCCATCCACGTGTGGTCTGATGCTGTATGGAGGCACCAGTGCAGGTCTGGGTGTTGGCTCTGTAAAGGAGAATATGTTGTGGGTGTGAGATCTGTGGATAGGACTGGCTCCAGGCAAGATCAGCTTCGTCCGTGCAAGGCACAGTTAACAGGTCTCACTGCTGAGTGGACAGGCAGAGCTGCTTTCCGAAGGCGTTTCAGTAGCCATAGTTTTTTTGCCTTCTTCCTTCTGCAGCTTTTGTGCTGGACTTTGGCCAACGTGTCCCCGTCTCCTCCTCTCCTGCAGTGGGTTGCTTGGTGTTTCTCTCCCTGGCTGCTCCCACTCAGACCACGTGATTCACTGAAGGTCTCTACTTGTTTGAAGATCTTCTTTGATCTTTTCTCCCATGGCCCTATAAATCAGGCTTTTCCAAATCACTTCTCCAGGGAAGTAGTACTGTTACTCGGCAGATGTAAAAAGACAAATAAGCCTTTTTGGTCATTGCTAAAGGTTAATTAATCTGCATCCTTAAGGGCCTTAATACTGCACCCTCCTAACAGTTGTGGTAGGTCTTTTCTTGGCTGCCAGCTTGGATCACGTCACGGCTCACGTTTCCAGTGCCCACAGACTTTTCTCTCTCTCGCCAGGCTTCTCTCGAATTCAAGCGAGAGGATCTGCAGCCCGATTGCCACCTTCCCGCACAGCAGCCCAGCGGCCTCTGGGTACCAGCCCGATTCCAGCGCTGCCGGGTAAAGAGCAATGGGGGGTCGTGGTCCTCCCGCTGCAGCACAGGGGTTTCACCCAGCCATCCTGTTGGGCAAAGACAAGCCAGGCTTTGCTGCTTGGTGTTGGGCCACGGGACGTTGCTCGGCCACTTCTGGCTAAGAGCACAAGCATCGCCGTGGTGGCCAGAGCCACCCAAAAGGAAGAGATGGGCCGGGTACTTCTCTGCAGGTGCCCTTTTTAGAGATCAAGATGTAGCTCACTGTATCAGTTGTGTCTTTTCTCTTTAATCATGAATCCTCCATAAGACGTGGTAGCTGGAGGGACACGATGGAGCTCCTTGTGCCACGCACACTCATCACAGGTGTGGGGCTCTTGGAAGACTCTTTGCCTTTGTTGATAATGAAGAGCAAGCGAGCAGTCTGCAGCGAGAGTATCATTCGGTGGGGCTGGCACAGGACCCGGACCTGTCACGTATTGCAGAAGATAGCGGCCCGTCACGGTGCAGCTGTCAGCTCAGAGCTGCGTTCTGGGATTTGTGGTTTCTGCAGGCTCCACCTCAGAGGCAGAAGTTGCTGCACAGTTTTACACGATTTAGAGAAGGGTTTCAGAGTGGTGAGAGATCAGCATAGGCTTTGACGGGTAATATTTATGTCCTCCTGGCCTTGCTACAGCCTGCTTCTCACACCACTGGTCCAAGCAGGAGATGCTCATCTGAAACGCTTGACGTAGGAAGTATCTATGGACAAAAAAACAACCCCTTTTTTTTTTTCCTTTCCTTAGCTGTGACATGGCTTAGTTTGCTCATATAAGAAGAGAGGATTAATCATAGCTTATGGGCAGCAACGAAAATGCACCATGGCGAAAGAGCCTGATTAGTTCATTTCATGGCTCTGGGAGGAGAGCCGGCGGGCACAGTGTCCCCCCTCGAGCTGCGACGGAGCTGCAGACAGACAGGCAGATGGGGGCACGTCATTTGGAAATCGGAATTTTAAAGAGGGAGGAATATGCAAGAAAGGTCAGCTCTGTAAGCAAAAACACCCCCAAAACAAGCCAGCAGCAGTTTATAATGGCTGAAAACGCTGGAGACAGTGCAGTGACGGCACAGTCACTGCGAGCAGGGCTGCGCCAGGAGGGCTTTAGTGTTCATGGGCAGAACACCAGCTCTCCAATTGCTTATTGTGTGCATAATCCCGACGTGATTTGAAAAAGACTTATCCTTGCAAAATAGGGGATAACTGGATGAGACAGTTGTGTTATCCATCCCATTCTTTTTAATTAACTTGATTTGTTTTGGTGGGTTAATTAGAGGGGTGTATTAGGTGTTATTTAGCAACAATGCTTGATGTTCAGTATTTATTCAAGAACAACAGCATCTCACTCTGTGCCTTTTCATGCACGCATTGCATGTCGAAGTGCACACATGTGGTCCCCCGCGCCGTCTCTCATTAGCTCCAGTCTTTTCTAATGCAAATCCGTCTCGTTCTGTTTCCATCCGCTCCTAGAAAAGGGGTCCTCTTCGTGAAGGAGTACGTGAACAGCAGCGAGTTATCAACCTCGCCACGCTACGGCAGGTACGAGGAGTGTCCAGAGGCAGTCGCGTGTCCACATACATGTGCAAAGCAACAGCACACAGCTCCCGAGCTGGAGCAGTTAGCACTGCGTCACCGTGCCGCTGTGCCCGAGCTCATCAGCCCTGGCGGGATTTATTACACTGGGTGGGCAGAGAGCTTTGCCAAGACAGCAGCGCTGATTTGGGGACCCAGAGGGCTATCTCTGCAGTCCGCCGGGCTGTCTAGCCCCGCTGCGGTGGCCGGAGGACCGCCGTCCCACAGCTCCTAGTAGAGGGGTGAGCTCCCACTCGAGGTGGGGTGGTGTCTGAGATGGGTGACGGGATGAAAACATGACACTCTGGGTTTTTTTAGGCTGCGTATTTGGCACTCTCAAGCTTCGCTGTGCATTTGCACATGTAAACGAATGATTGGAATTGGTGAGAAAAAAGTGGAGGTTGTGGATTCTCACTCCAAAAAGTTATTTATGAGTTAGGAAAAGCTAAAAGGTGCCATTTTCATGCTTAAATCTTCAGTCTTTTGTATTCCGCTGAAAGTGAGCTACGTAAAGCTACTCCAGGTGCACACCAGTGTGACTGAGAGCAGAACTTGGCCGTATGCACATCGTGCTTACACTGATGTGGCGGCCAGTTAACAGCCAGTGTGGTGCCTCCCTGCTGGCAGTTATCCTCCCGCAGTGCTGCACTGGCTTTACTGTGGTAGCTGCTCAGCGACTGCGTGAGCCTCTAGCCTTTCCTACAGGGCAGCAAAGCAGATGTCAGCAGCCAAAGATCAGCGCAGTGCCGCAGCGTCTAAAACACACAGGTGAACAGAAGGCAGAGAGGGGACACTCAGCTGGGTGAGGCTAAGGATGCATTCCGTTCCTTTCCCTGCGTAATAGTTCAGGATTTGGGAGCTTGGTAAGCAGTGAAAATAGCTGCTATTTACAGGGTGCACGTGTAAACATCAGGACCCCGGTGAGGCCAGAGAAGTTTGACTCCTGAGTGTCTTGGAGGCAGGGTTTCACAGGTTGCCTGCCCAGCAGCCGCGCAGGGGTTTCCCAGTCTCTTCTTGCAGCCA